TTTAATATCATCAATTTTTAAATTTAGATATCAACATTTAATGAAGAAAATTTTTAAATTTTGAGTTAAATTTTAATTAAATGAAATGATATTATTTAAAGTTATAACTCTAATTTTTTTTTTTTTTGAATCATAATTGATACGGACTATCCTTTTATGGTTATTACATATTATCGATTAATGCAATGTGCTATTAAATAAGTGAATTTAAACAATATTATAAGTTAACCGTAAATAAAAAAAACCAATTATATAACAAGACGATACTATTTTAAATTTATAATTTTATATAATATTATAATTATAACTCCACATAAATAGATCCTCATTTTTTACTATCATCTTTCTGCCAAGTTAAAAATTTTGAGTGGCCGGCAGCTAATAATTTTTTCTTGGACTCTTTTTTCACTTGTTTTTAAGTTACCGACCTTTTCCCAAGGTTTTATCTTTTTATACTAGATTTCAATATACTCATTAGTCCATTATTACACTTTCTTTTTTTACATGATTATAGAGAGAATTACAAAAATAATTTTTCTAATCATCCAAGTGCTAGTTTTAGACGGTATGACATGTTCTGTTTCTCTAAACTTAAGAGTTAGAATAGAGTATCTATAAATTTGCAACTTTAGTTTTTTAAAACTCTAAAAATTAAAATTATTTTATGAATTTTTTTTGACAAAAATTATCATAGATCTAATTTTCTATATCATAAAACCTATTTTACAATTAAACTAAAAAAATTTTCATGTAACGTTGAAAATTATAAATTATAAATTCTTTGATAGAGTTAAGTGATGCGCGGGTGGGTAAACGGAAGGACCAAATTGGCACTAAAGTTGTGCTTTGAGAGACTAAAAAGGGTACTACAGAAGTTAAGAGACTAATTTAATATGAAATCAAAAGGTTGAGGAATCAAAATGTTATTCAAACCTTTTCAAATTCAAAGGACATTTTAGAATGAACTCACTTAGATATCGTGAACAAAAAAAGGATTTTGCCCCATATAATTGCCCCCTCATCACACCTATTCAAGGTAGATGAATGTTTCTGCCAAGTTTAGGGGAAAATATGTAAGTTCTTTTGTAAGGTGTAATGTCATATTTTTGCTAAAACATAGAAAAGTTGGGATATCACAAATCTTCTTACAGAAGTGATGGGGTAAGTTTTGAACAAACTCTTTCTAGCAAAAATTTCTTCACAGAACTTCTTACAAAAGTTATGGGGTAACCATTTACTCCCTTAATCCAAAAATAATAATT